ATGTACTGAATTTCACAGAAATTTTATTATATCAGCTTTCCCAGCAGCACCTTCAATAAGGCAAGTGCCTGCAAATTATTCCCCAAATTTAAATGACCAATATTTCAACCACAGTTTTATATGAAATGGTTTAGAGCTGACATTTTAACAGATTATCATACTTATTTGCAATCTTTAATAAAAACAGATAATTAAACATGCTAAATGAGATACTGAAACTTACAGGAATATTGTGGTCCTTTCTTCCTTTATGTGAGGAAGCAACATGTGCAAGATACTGAATAACTTTCTTAGTATTTTCTGTTTTCCCAGCACCTGATTCACCTCTGCAAAACATAAATTATTGGTGTTAAATAGATGGAAAAATAATAATCAAGACAAAATAATCAAAATCAATGAAAACAAGACAAATATTGCATGGAATGTACTTTTAACATCAGGCAGCAATAAAACTCTTAATATTGGACAACAGCAAAATAAACTGGCTTCAATATCAGAAAAATGCAGAGTTGGCCATTGGAATAAAAAGTCCTACAATATTACTTAAAATAGAAGCAATACTAAAACAAAATTATTTAACATTGTGCGTATAGATCGTGGGGTGCGATGGCTCAGCTGTTAAAGTCGCTGGGCTTATTAGCTGGAGAGCTGACAGCCCGGGTTCAAGACCCAAGCTCCGTGCCATGGGACGAGCTCCCGTTACTTGCCCCAGCTCCTATCCACTTTGAAAGCATGCAAATGCAAGTAGATTAATAGGTATCACTTCGGTGGGAAGATAACAGTGTTCTCTGCACCTGTGGTGTAATAGCCATACTGGCGATAGGACCACAGAAAATGTCTTCAGGACAATGCTGGCTCTCTCAGCCAAGAAATGGAGATAAGCATCATGCCATAGAATCAGGCACAACTGAAGGGAAACCTTTACCTTTTTTTGCTTGTAGGTCAGACATTCAGAATTAAATAAATTAAATTAAATAAAGTATTTTTACTCTCATCCCATTTAATACAAAATGATGTAACAGAGAAAGAAAGCAATGATTTTATCATTAGTTAGCCCATTAAAATTCCATTTATACAATTTTTAGTGCTTTAAAATTTCATTCCTTTTAAAGTCTTTACTGTCTATAATCATGCTAATCCCTTTAAATAGTTTACAGTGGTACATGTCTACTGACTTCTTTAGATAGTTAATATAAGATAATCACTTTCCTAAATCTACTCATTTAGTTGACAGCCCGTAAAATTTCCAGATCAAAATTTGCAAATCCTGCATAGCATAATCTATGCAGAAGAATATATTAATAATTTAAAGCATGCATATTTCTATCCCATGTTATTTTTCTATTCTACTATATCTAGATATTTTAGCCAAAGATGGGAAGATAAAACTTACAGAACTCTATTCAAGAGTGCTCAGTCTTATACAATCTATCTGAATACATCTTACACAACTTTCTTTTGGAATAAGACAGTTAGGAAAAGGACTAAAAATCAGTCACACATTTTATTTAAAGACGATCCCAATTTTTTATATAAACATAATCCCCAGCATTTTTACATATTGAAAAAAATCCTCTTTAAAACTTTACAAAGCTGCTGTCACTCAATGTATGTGAAACTAAACTGAATCAATAACACTTATGACTTTATAAGGAAGTTTCCCAAATATTTTACATTCTTAAATACTAGCCTGAGCAGACGAAACATATTTTTAAGAGCTCAACATCAGTCTAATTTTAAAACCGGGGCTTTGGAACTCTTTCTAATTACATACAGTGAAATAATTTTCCCTGTGGTTAAAGCTATTTTTGGAATCTACCAAACATTTAATGTCACACATGTAATAATCTGAAACAGATTAAAACAAATCACAATCAAAACAAACAGCGTAAATATTCTTTACTCCATTGATCTGATTCTGGAAATAGAAGCCAAAGTAAACAAAAGACTTTACATATTCTCATAAAGTTATATATAAGGCTCAGCCTTCAAGTTTTTGGAAAGAGTATGATTTTTTTTAAAAATTGTATCAAGAGCAGACTCTGGGATGATATGGAAAACTTTAAGAAAGATCAGTGCTGATACACAATTTTTCTGAAGCTGAGAGGAAATTTCAATTTGCCCACGAGTGTGAGGTCTGTTCTGTCGAAAACAGACGTTCTCATACCCATCTCAGCACTTCTTTCATCCTGCACGTATCAATTTGTTTCTTAGTAAAGCAAAATAAATAAATAAATCTCATGCATTCAATTTTAATAGTATTCACTCATCCAGAGAAAATTAAAAAAATAATTTCACCGACTTCTGAAATCTTGCATTTCTCTTATACAGGACCACCTCTGTGGCATGTGCATGGATAAGGGCTCATTTTTTTTTCTGAAACCCTCAAATCTAATGGAATGAAAGAGGCAGCTTCATGTCTTTCTCTTTCCAGTATAATGTGGTTCTCTGTGAGTATTTAGATATATACATGCTAGTGTACAGGTGTAAACAGGAGGCTGGTTCTCTGTGTTGGCATGTGCACATTATCTGTGCAGTATATAAAAGTACAGTGCAGAAGATTTTATGTTTCTAAGTTTGACGGGAAGGCTGTATTTGGGCAGCTGCCTCCAAAACGCCAATACCCCACTGGGTTTAAATAATGTTCCTGAATTTATTCATATAAAAACCGGCAGTCTTACTCTCCTGCAAAGTTAATATAAAGGATTAAGCTAAAGTTAAAAAATCTAGATTTTCTTCTCTGCACACGGATCAACGCTCCTACAAATTTATTTAATTTTGTTCAAGGAAAAAAAAACTGAGAGAAATATTTGATTTCCAGTTACAGCCCACAGGAGGTAGGCCAATTTTTTATAACAGATTTGTTCCCCCAAATAAAACTGAAGCAAACTGTGTGGCTAATGAAAATGAGTCCAAGGCAAATAAAAAGCTAGGACTAAACAAATGTCTCAAATTCAATTTGCCAAAATCATGGATAAATGCATGGACTCTGAAACAGTAACCATCACCTTATTGTTTCAAAATTTGAACAGAATATACAGTAAGCTTTTGAAAGATATTTTATGACAGCACTACCGATTGAACTAGCATGCTTGTACCTTAATTTTTCAGAAGGATTTATTGATACATACAACTACTTGAAGCACAATTCAAATCTGGAAACATCAGCCAAAATGTAGCAGATTTAGTCAGTTACAATGAAGACAACTCTTCAGGTTTTTTAACACCTAACAAATTATGATACAATCATCAATTTCTGGAAGATTATGCCATAACAAATTAGTTAAACTTTAGCAAGAAGACATTGCCACTTCGATTATTAAAAAACATGTTTTAGACATCTCATTATTTTATTTTTAGACAAATATAGATGTAGACTAGACAACCCATGACCTCCTGGGACACTGTTTCAGAGATATTTCCTTATCAAAACAAAGAAACAGAATGATCACACATGCAGTTGAGGGTAGGGAAAACTTACCCGAGCCCTGGGAATTATCCCACTGCCTTATGGAAATAGCAATAGCACTTAGACTTATATATCGCTTCACGGTGCTTTACAATTTACAGAGTCAGCATATTGCCCCCAACAATCTGAGTCCTCAGTTTACCAACCTCGGAAGGATGGAAAGCTGAGTCAACCTTGAGCCGGTGAGAATCGAACTGCCAAATTGCTGGCAGCTGGCTGGCAGCAGAAGTAGCCTGTAGTACTGCATTCTAACCTCTGCGCCACCACAGCTCAATGGTGCTATAAGCTATGAAGCAGCATTGGAAATGACAAGAGTTATGTGACTATGGCTGATTGCATGTGGTAGAATGTAATTCAGACTCACAGGAGGGAGGGATTCTTTCCCATAGCTTGAAATCTTTGATATGCAGGAAAAGGAAAAGGCAGATCCCCTCCCCAGCACTTCAGAGTGCATATCTAATAGTTATATAGATTTGTGCCTTAATCTGGCAAATTTCCAGTTTATAGGCAAACAGCAATGTCTTCTTCTCTTTAATCTTTCTCAACAGTATAGACTTCTCCAGAGAGCTAGGTCTTTGCATCCTGTGTCCCAGTTATGTGCCCTGAGTGAGTGTTTGTGCTGATTTTATTATCCATTTCTTTGTTTTCTTAGCTGTCTATAGTATTTTCCAACTCTTAGCTACCCATAGTATTCTCCAACACCAAAATTCAAAAGCATCTATACTGTTTCTATCCTGCTTCTTCAAAGTCCACCTTCCACTTCCATAGAATGTCCCAAGTAAAACCATTGCCTACATGATTTTGATCTTTGGGGTAGACACACATCCCAACAAGTGAATGTCTTTCAAAGGTCTTTTTTGCTACTTTTTAAGTGAAAGTCTGCAGTGTATTTCTTATTTATATTTCACATTTCTAAACCACTCATCTCCTTCAAAGAGTTAATTGCTAGTTCCTTTACGGCAGAAAGTCAGTTTTAAAAGGAAAAAGGTATTCACCCCTTCAATATCTTCACTGTCAAATATTAATACTTGTCCTAAAACATTATGTTGAATGCAAAATGTTATTCTGGATATAAATACTGAATATTGGCGGTTAATATATTTCTATTTCTCACGATACACACAAACCAAACTTCTCTTTTCTCATAGGATTATTTTTCATGATTCTGTTTTAGTGTACGTTCATGTTGCAAAATAATTACACACACACACAAGGTAATGTGTGTGAAATAACCTTTAGGTTATTTAGAGAGTTTTTTAGATACAGAGTAACTGACAACATCCAAGCATATTAATAAATTTTACAACTTGGAAAGGGCCATTTGGATAATTGAGTCTAATTTCCCAGGTCAGCTTTGGCTTTAAAACATTTAATGAAGAGATTTCTGCTTATGTGTCCTTTAGCAGTCAAAATGTTTATGCCTTTATGCCCTAACTTCACTGTAACTGGAATCCGCCTTCCTGCAATTCAAGTTTATCATTGTGTCTTACTCTCTAGAATGCCAGAAAACTGGCCTTTCTGTGAGTCCTGAAAAGTGTTATTGTACTCCTCCTTATCTCTTCTCAAGACTAAATATGGCCACTTCCTTCAATCTCTCCTTATAAGATTCTAGCCTCCTTATCATGCTCATCACCCTGTTTTTCTGAATCTTTCTTAAATTTTATGCCCAAAACTGGACATAATACTTAAAGATGGGTTTGACCAATACTGAATACAATGGAATTATTCCCATGACTTAAAAATTCTATTTTTGTTGAAACAGCCTAAAACTACACTTTTTTAAAAATCTTATCACATGGGTAATTCATATTCACCTTCTAATCAACTATAATTCCAAGATTCTTTCCAAGATCCAATCCAGGTACCTTCCATCTTAAGCCTATGGATTTAAATTCTTTCTCTAAGCGAAGGACTTTCCACTTCTTTTCTTAAACTATTTTCCGTTTAGATACTTCTCTGACTATTAAGGTCATTTTGAATTTTATTTCTAGCTTCTAGAGCAGGGGTCCCCAACCCCTGGTCGGCGGACCAGTACAGGGCCACGCAGTTGGAGGCATGCGAAGAGTCTGCAGGGGTCTGGGCAGGGGCGGGAGAGTGGCAAGGCAAGAGCCGGCTTGCTCAGTGCAAAGTTTCTCCAGCGGCTGCGCTTGCAACTGGCTTGCAACTTCTGAGCTCAGCATCCTTCCTCCTCTTGCTTCTTGTGCTCTCTTCTTCTGCCTCCTCCTCTTCCTGCTTCCTCTCCTCCTGCTACTTTTTCTTCCTCAGCCTCTTCTTCCTCACTTTTCTCCTCTCCCCCTCCTGGCACCCTAGCTGGGCTCGTGCTCCCTTCGCACAAGTCTCCAGGTTTGCAAGGCAAGCGCACGCCAGCCCACCTTGCAACCGGGGACTTCCCCAAAACTTTGTTGGAGGGAGACCCCCCCCCCCAAGGTCTCTGTCTCTGTCTCTCACCTTTTCTAAGACCACTGAGTTTTTGCTTTTGTTTTGGTGGTGCTCCAGGTGCCTCATGTTTTGGCAATTTCCTGCCTGCTTTTCGTGGTTTAATTTTGTGTGTGTGTGTGTGTGTGTGTGTGTGTGTGTGTGTGTGTTCACACTTCTTTCTTTGTGCAGCTCTCAAGTCTGCAAGCCAAGCGAGCTCCTACCAGGCTTGCAATGGAGGAGGGGAGAAGCTACATTTCCCCTTAAGCACTGTGTCTCCAAGGGAATCCCTCTCTCATCTGCACCTTCTCCCCCCCCCCATCCATGGAAAATTGTCTTCCATGAAACCGGTCCCTAGTGCCAAAAAGATTGGGGACCTCTATTCTAGAGTGTTTACTGTATCTTCTACCCAAGCCAGTACTGTGTCATCTGCAAATCTGTAAGCTTTTCCTCCAGTTCCTTATCTGAATCATTAATAAAATGTTTAGGAGTACTGGGCTTAGATCCAAGCCCTGGGACACCTCACTTAATATCCCACCATTCAAGCATGTATGAATCTATGTAACAGAGATTTCATCCAAGCTATACGTAACTAGCTTGCTAAGCAAAATGTCATGAGATACTTTGTCAAATACTTTGCTGAAGGCAAAGTATATTTTCTCCATAGCATCCCACAGCCTACTAAGGAAGATAACATTTTAAAAAGGAAGCAAATGTAGGTGATTCATTGCATGCAAACGTAGGCAGAGTTCTAATTTGAAAGATCAGTTCTATACACTGAACGTAAAAGGTGGCTGGACAACTAAATATGAAATTAATTTCTCCACAAAACCTTATTAGTGCCTGATGACTATGCAATGTTCCAAGGAATATTAGTGTGTGATGAAAGTAACAAGCCTCTCTAAATTATGTTATGATTAATCTAGATTTTCACATTTCACTGCCAAACAGATTTGAGATGCACTGGAAATTTACAGTTATTCTTATTAATAATTATACATAGAAACAACAGTATTTTTAGTGTTGGAAAAATCTGTCAAGTTTGGAAAAATAATAACCTGAAAACATTATTCCCAAATTTATTTTGCACCTCAATTAGAAATGGATTTTGGGATATACTTGCAACCCAGGTTTTATTTATTCAAAAATGTGAACTGGGGAAATTTTCATTAAAATATGAAACTAATTTTTCATGCATCCCTATTTTTCTCTAGAACTTTATTACCTGTTTTATTATTAATTAAACTGTCAACTGATTTGTAAATGAAAAACTGCAAGACTGAGAGAAGATAGCAATGATATAAAACAGTTGAAAACAGCTTGCCTGAAAAAGCATAAATGTCAGTTGACTTTACTGTGCTGTTTTGTAATTATTAAATTTTGATTATAAATTGTCTTACTGCTAGACAATCTTGAAGGTTTGGAATTGGGCTGGAGATAAAGCAAAACATGGAATAGAGTAGGATGTTTTATAGAATCTGATTATTCTACTATTAATTCTTCTCCGTTGCTGTTGTTTATTAGTGAAAATAAATATGAGCATTAAAAGTATAATGGAACACTATCGTTCACCAGAACAAGATCATTAATGTCTGGAAAACAACTATCTACAAAAGAGCTAGAAGGTAATTGAAAGTGTTATATCATAACTCTGTATCCAAATACCTCTTTGCATCTGATACAAATCAAGACAACAATGATGGCTAAATAATATCAGTTGTTCGATATTTAAAAAAAGGTAATCAGATTTTATTTAGGTTAAGCAACCTACTAGAAGAATTATAACCTTGAGCTGAAAAAGATTTCAATCTCAATTTAAGCTTGAACATACTTGAAAGCTGCATTTAATTCGTTCTACACATTGTTCTGAAAAACTTCTTACATTATGATTTACAAATTTCTACATTTCTCCAGTACTATTAAATATCACAAGCTGCCAGGGCAGGAAAGCAATAGACATTTTAACATCACAAGTGAAAATTCTATTAAGTAGAATCGTATAAGCATTATAAAGAGTTAAAGAACAGTTGCATATTTATTATAATACTAGACTTAGCCCTAAAAATCAGACTCCCTCTTAAAAGAGTAAAGCTTAAAAAGCTCTATAAAAGTTATTATTCTAGAACAGCTGAGAAGAAGAGAGTAAAATATTTTGTGAATGAAAAATAGTCTCTACGTGTTTTCAAATATCAAGTGATTTTTTTCTAAGGGGTAAACATGTCAAACCGGTTTCAATATTTGATAGCAATAATCTGTTCCCATGACATTTCCTTTATGAATATTAAAATTTAAAAAAATATTTTTTTCAGAAGCAATATTCAAACTGAGTTGAAAAGCTAGCAGTAGCCCTTGTCACATGCAATAATTTAAAAAAACTGCAAATCAAAATATATTTACTTACGTGCAAAGAATTGATTGGTCCTCACGATCTACAAAACAAAACAAAAAAATGTACAGTTCTGCATGTCAACTACAGAGAAACCAAAATGTCATTCTTTCCATAGTATCTGTTAAAGTTAAAAATCTTCATCTTTAAAACAAGGACAAATACATATTGAACTTGTGTTTTCAGATATAGCTTTTTAAAAATTGAGCTTGATAGTTTCCTAGTAGAAAAATACTGAACAAATCTTGTGAATTTAATCTCGTTTTCTCTATCCCTCTCCAGTCATTCAAACGGAGTTGATATCTAGCAACAGAAATATACACTATAAACTCTAATATAAGATGTTTTACCTGAAGATTAAGATTAAGAGCAATTTAAAACCATTTGTCTTGGTTTGTTAGTAACTTTTTATCAACAAGAATGAATTGATTAGGGAATACAAATGACCAAGTGTCTTAATTCGTACACTTTTACATTTAGCATATGTTGCACAGAAAAAAGCAAAAGAACAAAGAAATGGATTTATAGTTCTGCTCAAAGAGCAGCTGCCCTAGGTGAGCATTATTTTTTTGAATCTTGAAGCTACTTTACCACCTCCTACCCCCATCCCCTACAGCAGTGGTGGCGAACCTATGGCACGGGTGCCAGAGGCGGCACTCAGAGCCCTCTCTGTGGGCACGCGGGCCGTCGCCCCAGTCCTAGACCTTCAGCTGGGTTTTATAAAACCTTTTCGCTTTAGGCCTCCGCCGCCATGTTCAAAAAAAAAAAAAAAGGTTCAATCAGTCAATTTCAACTTCTTGCGGGAAAAAAAAAAGATCTTGCAAAGTTGGAATTGATTGATTGAACTTTTTAGTCCCACCCAGTCTGCCGTTACCACCGCAGCCACGCCCACCCAATGAGCCACACCCACCCGGCACTCGACGATGCAAAGTGGGTTTTGGGTTGCAGTTTGGGCACTCAGTCTCTAAAAGGTTCGCCATCACTGCCCTACAGGATCCAGTTGAAAAAGGATTATTTCCTCCTCTCCTACACTGACCCAAAACACACACACAAACAGGACCAGACAATACTTCTACTAAATTGAATCAAAATTCACAGACATGAGAGGAAAAGAAGGATTTATACTTCCTATCTGCCCAGATCAAATCTCCGGGAAATTAGTATTTTCCCATTGCTCACCTGATGACTATTAATAAACTTCTTTTAGCTATGATAAAGTACATCCATATTGCTTACATGTAGCCATTTCTGGCAGGACTTTCAAACTCACAGAGTCTTCTAAAATGGTTTTTTTGAAAATAATAGATTTTTCTATGGACAGCAAACAACTGCTTTGGAAATAGTGGCTAGTTAAATAAACCCAATTTTCTTGTGTATCTACTGCAACAGAAAGTTCAGGACATTCTACATACATCTAAAGCAGCAGCCCCCCAACCTTTTGGGCACCAGGAACTAGTTCCATGGAGAGAGGTTTTTCCGTGGACCGAAGGGAGTGTGGTTTCATGTGCTGCCTGCATCCTTTGGATGGAGCTTTGTTTGTTTGTGTGGCCCGGTTCCTGGCATGCTGTGAACCAGTGCTGGTTCATGGGCCGGGGTTTGGGGATCTGTGAGAAATAATTGTTTCCAGCTGATGTCCCTTTTTAAAAGTTTTTTTAAAAAAAAGATGTATCTGACAGAATATTGTGCATTTGCTAAAAGCTAGCAGATCAAAAGCTAGCATTTTTAGGCAATTTTATAGTTTCGTCTTTTTTAGAACAGAAAGTTCCCACACTCTAGAACAGGGGTCTCCAACCCACAGGCCGTGACCCAGTACTGGGTTGTGACTCATTGGAACCAGGGCCGTGGAAGTGGTAGACAAATGTGTGTGGGCAGCTCCTCTTGCGTGAACGGCAGGCGAACATGCCCTCTGCTTGCACAAATTGAGCTTTGTGTGTGTGTGAGCTCACCCACCGCTCTCATTACCCACGAGTCTGCAAATCCGGAAAGTTTGGGGAACGCTGCTTTAGAATATATTATAATGTGCACAACAGCTGTTAAGCCTGTGATCAGAATTCTACATATCACTAAAAATGCTTAATTGGGATATTATAGTATAGCAGTTACAATGTTTTGCTTTGACTTGGACCTAATGCAAAATATATTTCTATTCAGTAAAGGATGGCCTGATTTTGGGCTATAAGGCAAGGCTTAGATTTTTGCCACCCGATGAAAGCCAGCTTTCCTCTTCTGCCCCTCTACTGAAAAGGTTTTTATCTCTTGGCTACCTTTGCACTGGAGAAAAACATTAAAAGAAGAAAAATAATAGAAAAGTGAGTAAAAAAAAAAAAGCAAAGAGAAATCTTGCAATTGTGACTTAAAAATCCATCTCCTTTCAATAAAGAGCTCCACCACTCCAGAGTTCACAGGGGGCCACAAGCCACACCAATCCAAGCTGCAGTAATCAGGCCCAAGTATCAGGAAAGAAGAACTCCTCTGAAAATGCAAATCTATCCATCCATCCACTGCTAAAAGTAGACGGTTCTGCCCACACTACAAGCCCTACAAAAGCCTGCATTGTTCACTGTAGTGGCAGCTCCACTGAGTGGGCTGTTACAGGAAGGGAGGGTGCTTGACAAAGGCTCAGCAAGCTGACATACTCCCTTGTCATCTCACTTAATATTGTAGGCTATGTAATTCTTTCCCTAATAATCATATCACTTATGGACAAGTGTAATAGCCCTCCAGCCATCTAAAGAAGATAAAGGTAGTTGCTTAGTATCCTGTGCACAGCAAGATCTCCCGCATTTAGAATCCAACATACAATCCACCTCATATTCCTTTTCCCCAATTAGGAGAACCAGTGGGGTAGGGGAAAGTCTGTACACAAGGGATAAGGAGGACCTTCCTGCATAAGGAGAGAACAATGAAAAACTATGTTTACTTTCATTGAAATGGGCAATTCCAAGTGGAAAGCTCCTGAGTTGAATCCATGTATGACAGAGAAGGGGCCAATAAATATCAATATATGGACATGGGGAAGGAAAAAACTTAGTGGAAAACAACAATCTTAATGCCTTCTTGTCTATGTAAATCTGCTATACATTTGTATGCAACTTGGCAAAATTGAACCTGTTCTTTCAAGGGGAGCTGTGCCACGTGTCTCTCTCTCAGAGAAAAATCAGGATCTTACAGGACCACAGAAGCAGGAGATTTATAGAGCAAGCAGTAAGGATTATATCCCTAAACTGCTTGAAAGGAAAACCCCAATCAAAAATGCAGAGAGTTGTTATACACAAATTCTGGAAACAAGAACAAATCAAGACAGTTGTCCTGCTGACAGGAAAAATAAAAATGCAGAAACTGTTGCAGCGTAGAATTAGTCTAGACCTACACAACACATGTGAGACCCATCAAACAGCCTTGCACAGCTCACCAGTTTTGTGGGGTTTTTTTTTGAAAATTCAACAAATTCACTGATGCCAGAAAGGATCTGCCACTGCCAGCTAGTTTTTAACAGCCACTTTTGCCTTGAAAAGTCATGCTGCCAACAGCCTTCAACACCTTCAAGTCTCAACAACACTGCCAGCTGTATCAGTGCTGCCAAACCGATAGTTATTAAATAGCTATTTCTTTGTGGCTTGCAATTATTTTTTGTGGAATAATTTTTCCCATCAGTTGTGCTGGATTGTCTTAGTCTTTTTTTATTCTCCCATTCAATTTCAGGTGATAAGACAGCAGCAAATAATTATGAATATTTGTTAAATGGAACATGAACAGAGAGTCCCAATGTAATCTCTGGCGACTAAACCCCTGCACTGAAAAATGTAGTCAAGAGAGAATTTTGCACTCTACAGAGCAGATGATAGCTCCTTGCATGGAATAAAATGAGGCCTCTGGGTGACCTGGTCTGTAACCAACAAAATGGTCATGTAACCTTACACATCTGAAAGAGATGTGTAATAAAATCCAGGGAAACTGTGTCTCATAGTCCAGAGGGAGACAGGAGTGGTTACAGAAAACCAGCAGCAACAGCTTTGGCCTAGCCACAGATGTCTTCTGTCATCCTTGACCATCCTGAAGAAAAGATGCAACTTTTTGAACACTCCCCCATGACTTGTATTTCATTGTCATGACAGAATTGCAATACACCTTCCTTGAAAAGAAGAGGAAGAAATAAGTCACCACCATAAAACAGCTGTCCTTCACTCGCAAAAGCAACGAATTTGCATGCAATATTTCCCTGAGGTCATCCATCTGATCTGTGACATGGGTTTTATGTCTTGACAGCAGGACATCAGAATTTCATTTTAATGTGCTTTTGTGTATACAGGTAAATGACAATAAAGACCTGTATACAGGTAAATGACAATAAATGACATTAAAAATTATCTTATCAAAGAGAGAAGCAACCTGGAATTAAGGAGAAACTTCCTGACAATGAGGACAATTAACCAGTGAAACAGCTTGCCTTCAGAAATCGTAGGCGCTCCATCACTGGAGGTTTTTAAGACAGTCACTTGTCTGAAATGGTATAGGTTCTCCTGCTTGAGCAGGGGGCTGGACTAGAAGACCTCCAAGGTCCCTTTCAGCTCTATTCTATTCATATTATCTTATTGTAGGTAAATCCTATTAAGAGATCTACTGCCAGCTCCCTGACACTAGTTTCTCTGGAGTTTCCTTCTAGAAGACAAAATTATCAGAAGTCAAGTTCAGGGTAGGGTGGAATAGACAAGGAATGTCAAATTAGGTCTTACACAATCTGGAAATTTATTTTGTGTTCTGGGAACATAGGTGATATAAAAATTGAAGTGAGAGAAAAACTATGTCCCACCTGATCTAATATTAATTGAAGGTCAGTTCCTCCTGCAGGTGCTCCAAATACTTGTGATCTGTTCATCTTCTCCAAGAAATGCCATTATTGAAATGCTTTATTTTTATTTATTTAACTAATGTATATAGTTACTTTTCTACTCATGGAACTCTGGATGGTGAACAGAAATAAACATAACCAAACTACACAACTCCAGTTTTAAATAAATTGGGTTGAGGCCCTTAAATGTTTTATTGACATATCAAATAAAAATAGGGCCTTGGTCTGATCTATAGGAAATTCTGCTGGCCTGCCATCATGAACAATTCACTCTAAGCACTGAAAGTCAGGAATTGAACTTGAGTCCTGCCCCCAAGATGGAATTTGGTCTTGAGAACAAAGTCACACTGGCTATGCAGCAACTTGTGGGGACACTTTCAGCTAAGGCATGGCTTGATCCCAATTCTTTATCATACCACTGTATAGGTTTTATATCTGTGTATACTGTTGATGCTGCAACATTGACAGTGTCCTGTCTACTTCTTCTGCAGACAGTGGGATACCTTGAAACTCTGTTACTAGATTCTATTTTAGACCTAGAAGGCGAGATACAATATCTTTCTTATGAGAGAGTAGTGTCACTGTCACTGTTAAAGGCATTGAGGAAACTGATAAGGAAATATTTCTGAAATGATGACCCAATGGGCCACAGGTTATCTAGTTACTATACTAGTTATTAAAGCTAAACAATTGTAAAACTTCTAAAGATTTATGTGAACTCAGTTCATTCCTAACTATTGACTTGAATGAGAACTTTACAATGATTTCTGATCATGATATAATGCAGGGGTGTCAAACTGCCAGCCTGTGGGCCAGATGCATCAACTGGAAGCCACGCCCACCCCATTGCCTGCAATGGCAAAACCGTCCCGATACGTTGCGTGACGTCATGTGATGTCACGAGTTTGACATGTCTGATATAATATGTACCAAAACGCATATAAGAATGCATAAATCAGCAATTTGAATTATGAATTAGTCAAATGCTATTTATTTTTAAAACTTCTATAACTTAAGAGTTTGAGAATTTTAACATATTAATTCTGTCTTGAGAAATCCATAAACATTATAGATTGTTCAAGAGAGCAAATTCTTCACATAATGTGTCCAAGATGTAATTTGAGTCTGGTCATTTGTGCCTTAAATAAGAATCATGGATTGATTTTTTCTATGATTCACTCAATTGTTTTCTTGGCTATTTATGGTATTCTCAAAAATCTTCTCCAACACCAAAGTTCAAAAGCATAAATATTCTCACTTTCCTCATTTTTCAAAGTCTAACTTTCATCCATGTAATTACCATTGCCAGAATGATTCTGATCTTTATACACATATCTCAGCAATGTATTATCTTTTCGAAGGCCTATCCGCAAGTCTTGGATATTTGTCTCAGCTGCTAGTTACATACTGTTAATTCTCCTTTCTTTGGTAACCAACCTCTTTCTATCTATTGGCCCGTGTCATTCCCCAGATTGGCTGCCATGTTTTGGTTAGAATTTCACAGATTCTTTTTCCATTATTGTTTGTTATATTTCTGTATATATTCCATAAATCGCTGTAGTCTTTTGACTTGAAATGAACCTCAGTACTGATCTAACTTCGTCTTCTAGAGATTTTTGTAAATAGGAAGTATTTTCTAAAGTTCGATGTTGACATCTCTACTGCACAAAATTTTCATTATGTATTTCCCTTTGTTTGATCTTTGAATCAGTTACTAGCTGCCCATTGGCATCCATTATCACAACAATTCAAGGTTGGAATCTTCTTCAAACTATAGAGATCTTTTGAAAGCCCTTTGTTGCTTGGATTTAGCTACTCTATACAACAAGATGTTATTAGGATTAAAACTGCTAATACTGATCTGAATTCAATTCCCTGCCTTATAGGCAAGGTCTCTTGAGAAAAAAAACAACCAAGACAATGTTGCTTCAATGGAATTGTGTACTGACATCCAGTTTAAGCAAACACTTGGGAAATTTGAGAGAAATTTCTCCTATCCATGCACACTGTTGCCATAGAAATTTAAGATACCAGTGTGGCATATGGGTTTTGTGGCCAGGCTGTCTACTATTGTGGTAAAGTGAGGGAGAAGAGAGGAAAAATGGGGAGAAAAGGCTCAGGTACAACTTTGGAGTACAGCTATGTTGTCATGATGGCAGACGGCTACTCTGGTTGTGAGCCAGAATTTTTATAGGGCAGCTAAAAAGACAGCATTCTTATTGGCTAAGTCTAGTATATAGGTATTGAGGATTAAAGCCCTGGAGGGAAACCCATTTTCTATAAAACATGCTGCTAGTTTGAGCTGTAAAGTGAGAAACAGAAGGGTTGGGGTTAACAGTGGGGGGTTAGGGTTAAGTAAAGGAGTTGCAATGTTTGAGTACATGCTGTTTTGAGGCATCAAGTCAGAAAAAGCTTTTGAACACAATGTGCGTGAATTTAGGGAATGGAGACAGACATTGCTATGCAGGTATTCCACTGGAATGTGCAGGTGTCATTTTTCCACTGGAATGTGCAGGTATCATGGTCCCAGTGGGAGAAGAGGGTGAAGATGTCAGCTGGAAGCTTTCCTGAGAGAAGTGGGAAGCCAGACAGGACACACTACACTTCAAACCCACAACAGAGGGGACAAAGGGAGGCAGCTGCCTGCAGACTTTGGGGAAGCCCCAAAATGGGACGTGTTGGGCAAAAGCCCCAAAAGGACATACATCACACAAAAACTATGCAGAAAGACATCTGGCAAGATCCAAAAATGTATAATGAAAGATTTTAAAGACACTCCAAAATAACTTAGCCAATCCCCTTCCTATCTCTCTTGCTTGATGAAATACTGAGGGGAGGGAGGAGGAAAAAGAGGAGTTGGTAGTTACACAGTAGAATGAGTAGTTGCTAGCAAATAACCATGGAAGAGGTAAAGAAAATTAGAAATTGGAAAGAAACTTTGTTGTAAAAATTTGGGTTTTCTCCCCCCCCCCACTAATTCCTGTAAATATGTTTGTACATAGTCAGAAACAAAAAAGCTTCTGCTGCCTTTCTCTCTGTGAAGCCCTTGTCCTCCTTAAAGGCACTCCCTCTCCAGTATAAAAGAGCCTTAAGGCATACTGTAACAATTATAACTTTTGTCAGATGATTTTTTTTATTGCACTTCAGCTCATCAGTGTCCCATAAAACAAAAGATTCTACAAATGGCCAGATTCAGAGGGAAATGTTGGCTTCTCAATTAGAGAAAAAGCATGTGCTCAAATGAACTAGAAGGCAGCACACATTACAGCACATTTTTGTTAAACACTGGGTGCAGCTGTTTAACATTATGAAAAGATGGTTTGTATGCATTCCTATAAGGAGTTAAGCTGGTAAAAGTAGAACAGTTCTTAACCCTGAGAGGACTGTTATTGGAACAAATTCCAGTTACCTTTCCATGGCCTTCACAAGGATAGTGAACATGAAAAAACAGGAAGGAAAAGTCTAGGATTTAAACTTAGGATCACAGGTCTATAAAAAGGAGCTGTAATAATGTAGATAAGATTTTCCATTGCACTTTATTTCATACTTCTTTACATAAAATATCCAGTTAAACTATATCTTGTCCATGTTTGAATCAGACCAGCTTTAGCTTGTACCAAGCTGAAGGATAATAGCTCTCTTGCACTGAGAAGCACCTCTACCAGAAGCAGTGCACAATCCTATCCTACATGTGGATTTGCACAGAGATCATGAAAAGAGGTTTTACGCTCTTTAATAAAATATGCTATATCATTGACTTTCCAGGCGTAATAGCCACAGCTTGTTCTTCCACATTAATATTAAAAAGAGACAATTCTTCTGACATTTGCCAGTTCTTTCCTACATATTTAGGAAGCTTCTCTAGTTCCAATCCACATTAATATTTAACTGAATCTTTGAGACAGGTTCATTTACTCCCACAGCAGTCAAAATCCCATCAGTTGAAGTGAATGATAGTCTGGTAGTTTGACAGACTCACAGTTGCAACTTACTCTCCTCAAAGCTAAAGAAGCATAAAGAGAATAGCTGAAGGGTTAAAAGAAAAACAGCAAAATAATTAAGGATATTGAAAGATATTGGAATTTTTTTTTACTATTACATTCTTTAAAAACGTGAAGTGCCTGTCTAGCCACACATTACGTCAAAAAGAGGCAATCTAACATCCGTCTAAAGTCTCAACTAGATTTCCAGATACTGACTGCAGTTTATGGAACTGAGGTGCAAAATATCTTAAAATTCTTCATTTCACAACGGAAGGCCATTTACCATCTAAGAATTGAAACCAATCAGATTTCTAATGACTGACGTGTATAGAGCTAATGACATTTATTATGATGTTACAATCTTTAATGTTAATCTTCTATTTACTTGTAATTCTAAAATGCTAGGCACAATGTCAGTGTACAACTTACAAATAAGAGTCTTACCTTGCAACATGCATCTATATGCAGATTCTGATATTGCATAAATATGTGGAGGCATTTCATGACGTTTCTTTCCCCTGTACATCTCAATGATGTTTTCAGAGTAAATTGGAAGGTTCTTGTATGGATTTATTACTACACAGAAGAGTCCAGAGTAGGTCTACAGCAAGAAAAAAAAGCTGTTTAGTCTTCCTGATTCACAATCAAGAGATTTTCTCCAGAAATAATTCCATCGAACTGGAGACTTAAATATTTTAATGCATGTAAAATCAACACCAGTGAGCTATTTCTGAACAAAATCCTGGTTCCAAAGGGATATACCAGAGTACAGCAGTTGACAACCTGATGACACAGATGGTAATAGAATTTTCAGCTACAGTGAAAACTATTGTCAAAAATCCACTAGGGATGAAATTTATCTTCAACTATTTTCTTTTAAAAATACTGCTGAGACAACTAATGAGTAATTAAAAGAACTAAAATAAAGGTTAAAAAAATAGTAGTATGTCATTTGGTGTAAATAAGTTCAAACGGTCATAAAGAAGTTTGGTTGTTTAAAATAAATCACCAGGCTCCAAAATGTAAATCTATTCAAGGTAAAAAGTTCAAAAGACTACAGTGTTAATGCCTGCTTTTTCAATGACACTAGCTAATAAATAAATGAGCATGTAGGATTTTTCTGAACTTTTCTTCCCAGCCTGGATCATCAAATTTAACATCATTTAATCAAGATGAAGCCTCTGAATGATCAAGAGAAGAAAGTGGCTTAAAGAAGAATGACAGAGAAGTTCCCTCTTCTCTGGTCACTGCCTCAAAGCTGCTCTTCATTAAAAAAAAAAAACAAAGAAGAATCTGTTAGCAAAGAACATACCTGTGACATATGGTTTAGCTATTAGAATTCTTGCAATACTGGAAATGCTACCTAAAGTTGCTAATCTCAATACCATGGTAAATTGTCAACACTAAATTTCAAACAGAAAGGGGGGTTGGAATAAAATATACAGTTGTCACCCAAGATTTAAATTTGGATTCCATGGCTGTCCTTTTAGTGTGACAAATGCATATTGACACTATTATCACATTAATTGTCTTCCACCCTACACTGTGTTTTATGGATAGTTTGCTGCAGCATGAAGTAATCAAGTAATTTTTCACATTTTGTACTACAAAACAAATGGAAACATGCAGGGCTGCTGTTTATAAAAGCAGATACCTAGCATTTAATTAAAAATAAGATGTAATGGCTTTGTTCAATTATTATATAATACTATACAATTTGACCTAACTGACATTCTACCTACAGGTATCCTCAACTTATGTCATTTTATTTAGCAACCATTCAAAGTTACAACAATACTTAAAACTGTTGCAACATCCTTGCAACTCAATGACCATGATGCTGGCACCTGGCAACCAACTAGCACACTTCTAGTGTCCTACAGTCATGTGATCACCATTAGTGACTTTTACAGCCAGCTTCTGACAAGCAAAGTCAATGGAAATGCTGGCAGGGAAGGTCACAACTCCCGGCCATGTGATGTCCTGTTTAACAATTGCAGCAAAAAAAATTGTAAAATCAGGAGCAGTCACGTGATGCCTCACTTAATGACTCAACCGCACCAAATTTCCCAGTCCCAATTTTGGTCATAAGTCTAGGACTATCTGTATTGAAATATCCTAAAGTATTCTTAGATGTTATAAAAATGGCATTTTAATTTTTTCCTTCAGGTCAGAAATTTTACTTTTTGCTTATGGCCAAGAACAGAGTGGGAACCAATGGGTGTGTTCTCAGAGTTTAAGGAAGCCATTCCTTTTTATTTTCTTGCAGCTACTTCCCAGAGGGAAGTAAAGCTTGCTGTAACACTCTCTATAACAGGGGTGTCAAACTGCCGGCCCGCAGGCCGGACACGTCACATGGAAGCCGCGCCCACCCCATTGCCAGCAATGGCAAAACCGGCCTGATACGTCGCGCGACGTCACATGACATTGCGAGTTTGACATGCCTGCTCTATAACCTTTGTAAGATGCTGTAACCACTCTACACATGTTGCAACTCAACTTGTACAACTAAAACTTTCTCTTTATCAGTGAGACATCATATAAACATTTCTAAAATCAGCCATTTTTTCTGTTTTCCTAACATTTGTTCCTTAAGTAGCTCATTGGAATGGGACACTCATTTTATTTATTTTAGATACTGCACCTCATTCACAGAGCGATTCCATCATAATCAATTATACTGAGTATAAGGTGCATCTTCTGGGAAAGACAGCTTGGTTTGTGTGTGTGTGTACACACACACACACACACAGAGAGAGAGAGAGAGAGAGAGAGAGAGAGAGAGAGAGAGAGAGAGAGAGAGAGAGAGAGAGAGAGAGAAATTGTAACATACTCTTTATAGCATTTTAGCTTCTATTTTAAAATAAATGAATCAGCATGGAAACAAAATTCAGGCTTTAGCATCACTTGAAGCCAAAGTTTCTAAGTAGTACTTAATTGTCACCACTTTATCTCTTCAGCAAACTGAAATATGTTATACAGTTGAAAATCCACTGAAATTATAATTACAGTAGCTATACTGTATCATGAGAGTAGTCTAGGGCTGGCTATTATCAATCTACAGGCTGAAGAATACTACATTCCAGTACCACATGTCTCAATATGTGATACAAAGCTTAAAATATTGATGATTTTTAAAGCTAAAGAAACCCAATGTAGGTAATCTTTGGTTAACAATATTAACTGGGACCAGAATGAGCAATGCTAAGGGATGCAGTCGTAAAGCACAATGTCATATGATTATACACTTAGCAATGGCAATTCTGGCACTTCCTGTTGCCATCATTAAGGGAATCACCATGGGTCATTAAGCAAGGGTGTCACGTGATCACCATTTGCAACTTCCTACCATTGACTTTGCTGTTGGAAGCCAGCAAAGGTGGTCACAAATGGTGACCATCAATAAGAGACATTGTAATTGTGAGCCAGGTGCTGAACACCCAATTCACACCACACGGCCACTGCAATGGCCAAAATTCCAGGGATCTGTAAGTACTACTTGTTCAGCATTGTCACAAGTTCAAATGATCATTGAATGAGTGGTTGTTAAATGATGACCACATGTAATCTAGAAAGTCTCAAAATAGATGTTTAAATATATTTGTTCTATTTCCCAAGTAAAGTAACACATATTCACAGGGTAAGCAATGTAACCTCAGAGACTTCCCTTAGTATCTACTAGAAAACATCTCATAAATTACTTTAAGAAAATCCTGTTTGTATTATTTTTTTATATGCTACACCGCTCAGAGTCTAATGGAATTGAATAACCTTTTAAAGCTAATCAATGGATCCTTAGATCCTTTATGCTGCCATAATGTATCAGCCTTGTGTGGACAGAAGGAAGTACAAGCTATATTGTTTTACAACTCAAATCAGTGCAAGACTCCACATTTTAGCCTATATTAGATAAGAAAATATAGCAGTTATTAAATACCAAAGGTTAAAGAACAAAATAAAAAACAGATAGTACCTACAATTTACTAAACAAAATTTCTAACCCATTCCAGTCCTAATAGATTTGACAATAACTTTTTAACAATAAATAACTAATAAAAAATGTGAGCTAAGGATTCCAGTGTTTTAAATTTAGTCATAAATCATAGTGATCACTGACATGGACAAATTTGTTATAAAATATAATTTAGGAAAATTGCAGCAAAAATAAGATAGTTAATAGTTCCAAAACAATCTCTACGTTTGCTACTAATCTAAACAATTGTGAAATTTATGAAATGCATATGGCCACCCATCTCACATAAAGTGACTCTGGGCAGCATGCAACAATTATCTACACTGCTATTTAGATAAAAAATGCAAGACAATGTAAACATTTATAAAATAAAAGTTATAAAGATAAAACTGATTAAAAGACAAACTTAAAATTGAAATTTAAATTAAAAAAGGAAAAACCTGATGGATTAAAAAGTTATTTCCTTAATTTCCAAAAGACAACAGAATAGATAACATGGGGATACTCTAAAAAAAAGACATACCATAACTGGGGAACTATTCAGAAGACCTATTCCAAAACAGCCAAGCACTCTAGTTCAGTAGATGTGACAATCAAAAGTATCAAAGGTCAGAGAAATAGCAAATACAACATAATTTGGTGATCCGAATTAAAATCATAGTATTAATAACCAAGCTTACATTTTAAAATCAGTCTACAGACTAAAAAGCAGCATTTCCTTTTGGAACATTGCAACCAATAAAGTTGATTTTTTTGGGTTAGCACATGTCAGCCAAATAATTATTACTTACATAAATGAGCCCAGAATAGTATCGATCCTTCAAATTATGAAGAACAGAGGCTTCATTTAAGCAGGTCAATTCTGCCATGTCTTCTACTTTAGAAAATTTGGGAGGATTCATTTTTTGAATATCATCTTTGTTGACAACGGCTTTCTTTCCATTCTCAGCCAATTCAACCAACACTTCATCTCCCCTCTCTTCTTTGATGCTGGCAGCTTCAAAGCCATGACGTTCTGATGGAATCCAGACTAATTTTTTAGCTGTCCAATCAGCCTGGGTAGCAGGGTTGTAGATTACTGCTCTGTCCACAAAAAGGTACCTCTCAGGGTCTTCTTGCAAAGTCCTCTGAGCCATTTTTAGAGAACTATCCCACAACAGGAACCTAGTAAATGCAAAAGCAGAATTATTAGCTACCAATAATCAATCATTATTTATTATTTAGAGTATGATGAGAACATGATAGAAGAGAAGTAATTTACATATTATATACAAAACATCTATCCATACCCACTGATTCACAGTAGAGGCACTTCTTCCAGTATCACACCTAATTCTGTTCAATTTCAACCAGATAAAGCAGTGGTCTCCAATCTTGGTGGCTTGGTGGCTCAGTTGGGGAAGGGTGAGAGGGGAACAGGGCTGCGCGAGTGGTGGACTAGCTCGCACGCACACAGCTTCACTCAAGCAAGAGAGAAGCCTTTGGGGCATGGTTTCGTGCTCCTTTAGGTTTCTCCACACCAAAAGCTTTTGCCTAAAGCAGCACAAAAGCCTTTCGTCCATTTGCAAATGTTTTTGGCACAGAGAAGCCTTTGGGGGCACAGTCTCATACTCCTTCAGACTCACCGAGGCTGCCCGACATTCCAAAAGCGGATCCAGGTGTCCTCTGCTGGCAGCCTCAGTGAGTCAGCGAAACTGAGCAAGGCCTGCCTGTCTAACTAAGCCTTTGCTCTCTCAGCTCTACTTTTGGAACATCTGGAGCAGGCGGCTTGGTGGCCCGGCTGGAGGGGGAGAGGGGAACTGGGCCATGTGAGAGGCAGGTTGGTGCACACATGGAGCTCCACTCACACAAAACAGAAGAGAAGTTTTTTGGGTGCTGCTTGGTGAGTGGAGCTGCACTTGTACACTGGCCCACTTCTCACGCGGCCCAGTTCCAAATGGGCCACGGCCTGGCGGTTGGAGACCCTTGAGATAGAATAAGGCGGGTCAAAACCAGGTGGTTTGGTAGCGGGATCACTGATGATCAGGCCACAAGAAAGTACCATGGACCATTCCACTCTCCAGGCATTCTCAAGTTAAATTTGGTAAAATGTTAAGCGAATAGTTGTTTTCCATGCTAACCTATGCGATTTCAATCTTGTGGTGGGCTGTGTATTGTTCTGGTGAATAGGGAGGGCCTTGTTGTTCAGCATCCTTGACTATAGCCGAGTGAGAGCTTGTTGTCTTCTAATGCGAGACGGTATGATATTGCTAAGTACTGGTAACCAGTGCACAGGAGTGGGATGCAATGTGCCAAAGATGATATGCATTGTCTGGTGGAGTTGGACATCGACCATTTGGGTGTGGACACTGTTAAGCCATACAACAGCTTTGACTTTAGTTTATTCCACAGCTAAATATTGTGACAGCATGTGGCTTAACAGCACCCTCATCAATAAACAGCAACTATTTAGGACAGTGGTTCCCAACCTTTTCTATACCACACACCCCTAGAACACTTCTGATATATTCTCGCACCCCTTACAAAAGTTCAAAATAATGGCACGAATTATGCATATACATTATAATTTTGAAAACCCAAGTTTTTGCACCTCCTGGAATATTGTCTCGCACCCCTGGTTGGGAACCCCTGATTTAGGATAAGAATGTTGGACTAGGATCTGAGATACCCAATTTAAATATTTACTCAGCTATTAATTTTCTTGGGTAATTTTTGCTACGTCAGCATTTCTCAGTACAGCATCTTACAGGGTTACTCTAAGGACAAATTTGGAAGATGAATAAGAAGCTCTTTTACAATTTAGAGGAACCTAGACAATTCAAATTACTGTGGAATAAAAACAGGCTACAGATGAAGTTTTAAAGCCTAATCTATAACTTCTTCCAGAATGCTGTGTTGCCCAGATATAAACATATCAATCCTATACCCGTATCCCTAAAATCTAATCTCAGTTATTTTCAACCATGATTAATCTCATTTAAAGGCTCACAACTATATCTTCTACATCAAAAAATAACTGTTTCTCTATAGAATTTTACTTTATATGAAATACATTTTCTATTAAGCAATCTGCACTTATTGCAGGAAAAAGTAGCTATGAAACTATTTTAGAGAATACTCATCATAAAGCACATTGCTAGACCTAACAGCTTTCCAGGAACAAAGCACTGAAGTTGGAATGTGACAAAAAGTGATAGATACATGGCCAATGTCTGACTGAGAAATAGAATAGGAATATTCCTGCCTTTGGTGAGAACTTGGGGATTGAGTCTTGCAAACAGTTTCTGAAAACTAATTCAACCAGAATATGCTAGAAGAGGAAAATAAAGAAAATCACTTATTAAAAACCCTTTAAACCAAGTTTAAAAATGCAAAATAGGATGTCATCTCAGCATCACTCAGGACTGTAATAGGAAGGTTATTTGTTGTATTTAAATTTATTCATCCCCCCACCCCCATTTGCCTGTCCCCACAAGTGCAAGTGTTTTTGTTGCACTAAGACTATTAGAACCTCATTCTTAGGGATCTGATTAATGGTCTTCAGAAAGTATATATTTATAAATATGGCTGCAATTTAATGTATGCACAAAGTTTGTAGTATAAGAGGACATATATTTTCTTAAGAGAAAAATATTGACAAAACAGTAGTTGGCAAATATTTAAAGTCTTACTAATGTAAATTCCCAATTAAAAATAATCCTAGGAAGGCGTCACCTCAAGTAGGTAAATCACAAGTATTCAACTCTTTTGCTAAATTAGTTTTAAGGTACTAGCATATTTTTTGCCTTGGCAACAGTATATATCAAAAGCCATTTACTATTATGATATCAAATTCATCAAATCTATAAAATGACCAGCAATGAGCTCAGGAATTTAATTAGTCTTTGAACTTTGAACTTTCTGTGACAAACAATTAGTTATATCCTGAGCAGTTTTTTTAAAAAAACAAAACATCTAAGCTTAATAAAAGTGTTTCTTTCATTGGGTAACTTTTATCCAACCCCTACCCAAAAAAGTTGATAAGTTAAAATAAGAAAGTTTTTTTTCTTTTGAAAGATAAATAACATTACAGCTATGTTATGTGACAATTTCTATATTCAGCAGTTTGCTAAGATATTGTCATACAAAATTATTTTACTATAGAAAAAATATATAAAATATTAACTTTTATACTGGAAATTTCTTAAAACAATCATTTTACTGCTGCTGAACACTTGAATAAGTAGATTAGTATTCCAGAAACATTTTTTGCACATTTTTTAGAAAATAAAACCAGATCTGGACATTCAGATTATTACTTGGATCATTATGTGCCAGACTAGTTATCAGCCTGCCAAAATATTACCCACCACTGTCCAGATAGTGAACAATTCTCAATACCTGTAATGATACAGATTCCCCACATATAGGACATTTTAAGAACTATGCATTTAAATGGCTACCCTCTTTCAAACAATCATTACGTTACAGTATCTACACTGACATGCTAGCCCAATAATTAAAGCTTAACAAACATAAAGCAAGCATGAAGTCATTCATTCCACCAGAGGGCCATAAAGCCTGCTTCACTTATTTCAGACTATAACTGTAGCAGCTAAATTCACATTACAGCATTAGAGTATTGGCTGGCTATAGAAAGCACAGCTAAAACAGACTAGGAGTCAAGGAAGGGAAGTAACATGTATGAAATTTTTTTTCCCCCTCAACTAAATACAGTATCTCAGACAATAATGGGAAACATGAGGCAGTTACTCTAAGACAGCATATATGCAAACTAACCTGGAACCAAGGTAAAATCTTCAAGACCTAATGATCTCTACAGCATCATTTTTTTTTCTCATATATTTTGTACATGTAGTTGTCTAGCATATGTTTGTTGTTTATAAACAGTTATTTTGGCCTTCCCTTTCTCTTTATCTCCAAGTGTTATTCTAATGCAAGGCAGCTGATTCCCAGAATGCTAGATCTGCAACGCAAGCAGCATAGTTGAGAAAAATGTCCGGGCCCAGCATTAAGGGCTGGAAGAGTATAGGTAGCTGGTTTCATATATTTTTTTAACATTTCACTAAATTACCTAATTTGCTTTAGCTTATGTACGTTTACTCCTAAGGGACTCGGCATTTAATTAGACGTCGTTCCCCTAATCAAAGAAAGATCATTTATCGAGGTGCATTTTTCATTTCACATTCCAGGAGCAACTGGAATGCAAAAAATGCAACGCTAACAATATTGAGAGGCCTTTCCTACCCACTGCAATAACATGCAGCATCCCACATATACCTAGATATCTCATATGGAACAATGCGATGACAACCGGCCGAAAGGTTAACATTTATCTCGCGATTTAAGAGGAACTGGGAAGAAGATCCCCGTTGCGATGGCCAAGTTTGAAACCAGTTTTAACCCAAGTGAAAGGCAAGAGAATGCACTGCACCTAATCGGGAGACAACTTCCAATCCTCGTGTAAGAGAGGAACCTTAATAGAAATTGCCAACATCTTCCTACGGCAGGGAGGCAGACGATCGCTGGGAGGATGGGGACCGGCAGGCGAAGCCGATCCTGGAGATTCCGCACAAAGGGCTCGGAATGGGCGAGCCGCAGCTCCACCGCACACTGCCCCACGGGGTGATATAGCACAGCCCCGTTCCCAGGCAAGGCAAAAGGGCGCCTCTGCTTCCTTCGCTCGCCCCCTCCCCAGCCATCCGACAACCTCACCCCTTAAACAAAGAGACACGTGCGCTCTGCTGCTACCCGGCCACAGGACCCCCCTCAGCCCCTGCGGTAGACCACGTCTAGCCGCGTTATCTCTGCGAGCAGCAACAGCGAAGGAGACCTACCAGCACGACAGTCAACCCCTCGCCCAGGCAAAGGAGGAGCCACTCCTTTCACGCGTTTCGCAGGGCTCTCTTACGGGCGGGAGGAGCACGAAGCAGGGGCAGGTGGAAGATATGGCCGAGGGTCCAAGGAGACTCTCCAGCCCGAGCCGAGGCCCTGCGCGACCTTCCTTCCAGCTGACCGCCCACCCTCCTCCTTCCCCAGACAAGGCGGGAAATAGAAGGTGGGTGGGGGGCGCAGAGGCAGAGCTCCTCGCCTCTTCCCACGTCTCACCTGAATCCAGCCAGCGCTGGATAAAGCGCCTCGATAAAACGCCCGGCTCGCCTCTGCTCCTGCTGCTGCTGCTGCTGCTGCTGTTCGGCGCGGAGCCGCTTTTCCCAGCACGCGCTCGAACTGAATCCGCACTAGCCGCCCCGCCCCCGCTCGCGGCGCCTTTAGCGCCACACCGAGCACTCCCCGCTGGTCCCGCCTTCCCCTCCCCAAATCCCTGCCCAGGCTTCCACTGGTCGTTCAGCCGGCCCATCGGGCTCCACTCTCGCCACCTATTGGCCCTTTGCCGCTCCGCCCCAAGCCAGCCTCATAGCAACCTTCTCAAGCTTCGCCGCCGAAAACGCCCCCCTTCTTTTCTTTTTTCTTTTTGCCGGGTTTGCGATTGGCTGGCTGCGCCTGCCTGTCTAGGGACGGCTCTCCTTTCAATGGCGCTTTCGTGGCGTCCGTAGAGTGGGGCGGGAGAGAGAGGGGTTGAGGTGCACAGCTGCAGTCCTTCTGCTCCCTTTCTTTTTCCGAGCTTGCCCCGGGGCGTCGTGAAAGGTAGCCCTGGGGTCAGTGGTGGCACGTGAAGCCCCGGGTGGCGTTCGGGTTATAAAACAGTGGCGGGGTACATCGAAATGCGTTTGGAGTCTCTCGAGCGTAGCCTGCAAAACCCCGCCCCTTTACACGGTGTGTAACTGAGCTGCAGTAATCGATAGCGCGCTCCTCTTCTCTGTTGCGTGGTAACATAATTAGGACGTTTACTGCTACCGGTATTTAGTTGGATACGGGAAATGCATTGCCCATCAAAAAAAAGTGCATTTACCCCTGGGGCAGAGTAAAACTTGCTAAGTTGGGTATGCTGAGTGCTGCATCCATGCAGGCCCTTTTCACTCTTTCTTCATAGGGTGCCTGTACCCTTAAAAATCTATTCTATGGCTACTACAAATACTTTAATATAAATACTTCATTGCATTCTATAGATTGGATAGCTGGACTTCTCTCTCTCTCTCTCTCTCTTCCTACAACATATTTGCTTTTGGACAGGTCATGAGTCCTGGTACTGGATAGAAGAATTTAAGTTATTGAGCTCAATTTACTATCCATCCCATTGTCTCTAATGTATCTTTAGTTATTGTGCAAAATATTCTATACATTGAACACTTTTATTTAGAGCTGCTATCCACATACTAATACAACTCTGTCATGACCTTTAGCTGGGCAAAATCATACATTGTAGGGCAACATGGTCTAAGTTACAGAATGTATGTAAAATCTGTGATCCGAAACCACAGGTACTGCTGTGGTTGGGCGGCTTCTGCAATCACTGTCATATGAACACTCTGTAACAATTTCCCAGGCATTCTTGCAATTCCTTGCTCCCTCCCCTACCCAATAGCAGACAATTATCCTGTTGGGAAAGAAAGGGATCCCCATGCACAGGCTTGTGCCACAACCCATGCTCTTTGAACTGCACTACCCTAACTACCACCACCCATGTCTTGCACATCCACACATGCTCTCTTCAACCCACATCCCTTCCCCAACCCTTGTGGCATCTCTTACGTCCTCTTCCATGCACCATACTGATGAATCTTTTGACTTGCATTTATGTTGACTTGCACCCTACTTGACCCATATGCTACCTCTTAAATACCTTCATGACCCCCACATACTGTCCTTTATCCCTACACTCCTTCTTGTCATGTACATCCAGGCATCCTTCCCTTCCAAAGCCACTCTGGCTCACACCTATACACCCTTCCCAATCCACATGGTATCTATTATGGACCTCCTTATACCATTCCTGACCCCTTCAATCCTTCCCCCACCCATCTAGTAGCTGCCTCTTACCTGCCTGCTAGTCCTGACCTTTAGTTTCCTACAGCTTCTCTATAAGTCTTCTCCCTTCATGCTTCCCACAAGCAAGATAAATAGGAGAACAGGCAGGAATTGGAGACCTGGAGGGAAGAACAGTGAGGAGGGTTGGAAAAGGCGAAGGGAGGAAGGAAAGGAATGCAGGAAAATGCTCCAAATTCAATGTCAAGGAAAATCAGAATTTTCCAAGTGCCAGTAATGTACTTAATAGAATCTGTCATGAGAAAAAATATATATGTAAAGTACTAAGCACACTATTCTTGGAATCATCACCAGAAGCTCTCAATCTGCTTTCTAAATTTCTCACACATTTTCACATTTGCTTTTGCAAACATATGTGTATGGATTTGCAGAAAGAGTCATTCCCTTTGTAAGGGTAGATAATTTGAAGAAAGAATCCAAAGCCCATCTTCTCATTGCTATATAGAAGATTAGGATTATTCAAGATACTATAAAACAAACATTTGCAGTTTTAGAGCTACCTATAATGTATGGTAGTATCCCTCTCCAACAGAAAATACTTATGCTAATCATAGTATATACTACCCTTTTTCCCAAGCTATCAAATGTGACTTGTAATTTAAATACCAAAATGTCTTAATTTCTTCATGCTGTTTCTGCATTAGCAAATGCAGCAGTTGGTTTGGCAAACAAAAAAATACTTTATGTGAGTTTTAAACATTGCATTGTTGAAATCTTAGCCTCCTAGAGAACTGATTGAGAGGAATCAGTCAAGGCATGTTGAACAAAACAAACATAGCCAGACCACGAAAAGCTTATCTAATCCGAGAACTGTAATGTGGAGTAGCTAAAGTAACAATCTAAAACACATATTTATATGTGATGAAAGCATCACTGTAAGGTTACAACCTACAGCCAAGATTTTGCTGGGAAGCTATAAGAAAGTCCAGAAGAGTTGCTAGTTGAAGAGAGAGGGTAAGAGCAGAATGATACTTAATACAGCCAGAAGCTCCACCTTAGATCTTCTGCAGGTGAAGGTCTGCCAGGAACAGAGGTGCAGAAACAAGATATATTCAAAATTACACTGTATGTCCAATCAAGAATACATACTTCTTTAAAACAGCCAGGAAGGGTCCCAAACTACACCAGCCTTGTTGCAGTAATTTCTACTGGAATCGGAATAAGAGCCAAGATGTTTATCCATAGTCGCTGGCTACAGTAAGTCAATAGGGCTTTGAAAAGAGCAATAAAGCAACTACAGCTTCTCCTAATCAAATACACTTCAGAGTTATTCTGTGAGGAACCTGGCTGCTAATAAGAAAATTCCTGCTTTCAATGAAGAGTGAATAGATTAGAGCTGGTGAATTGATAGCCCCCTACGTGCTTCTGAGCCACAACTCCAAGCATGGTCAGAGATGAGGAATATTTGGATTCATACTGTAGTTCAGCAGTGATCTTAGAATATAGTACAGTATGACTGAGTTTACTTTTTTTTTAATTTAAGCCAGATTGTTCTGTGTATAGCATGTTGCATTAACTTCACATATCATTTTAATATGCCAATAAACCAAATTATACCATGCTATCTGAATTGACCAGCACACTCCCCTTTCTATAACATGGTCACAATGCTGGTTACAGTATAGGTCTCTTGCAAGAATTATACTATGAGCACTATTCTTAATAATTCTATTAATATACCTTGTGTTTTCTTTGCATATCTATAAATCTCAGAATGATTTTTGACTGAAATTATTGTTGATAGAGCAATGAAAAATAGGCAAAGTAATAAAATAAGAACAAGTTATTTTTATAATTGTTTGAAAAGCAAAGAAAAGAGATGAGGCAAGGGCTATGCTTTTCCATTTTTATTTGCTTTTGACTAACATATTTTCTTAATTTTTGAAGGAGTTTTCTCTCTTCTCCAGTTGGAAAAGAAGCCAACTGAATTAAGTAGATCAATCAGGATTAAATAGAGGAGGCAGAATGAATTTATTATTTCCTTGTAGAAATGGGTTTGAATTATATTTATATAGCATCACCATGGATTTAATTTTAGGCAGGATGAGATAATTTTCTGTTTTGGCTTTTGACCTCCACAATTTATGGGAAAGTTATGATTTCTTTAAGCCTAGTTCTTGAAATAAAAATCAGTAGATTTTCATTTAAGCTTTTTTATATAAAAGTGATAATGTAAAATACTACTTATGGACTGAGCTTTGATTTTCCATTTCCCCTAGAAAGTATTTATTTTTAATTTTATTTGTCTAAACTCTACTGAAGGAAGAAAGTTTTGTCAACTACATTACTAAATTTTGGAGAGGATTCTGAAACCTTCCCTCCTTTTTATATAAACCTTGGTTTATAAATTTCAGCAGTTGAGGTCACTAAACATGCTGGGTTAAGCCCAAAGAGATCATATACTGGTTTAGTTGGATATGCAGACCAGTTCTTGAATGGAATTTTCTCTGTATGGTGCCAAATTAGTTTGAGCATCAAGCTATTTTGGTGCTTGGGGAAAGAATGTTTGTTTGTCCTCTGTGAACATGTTTTGGGCTAGTCGTCCCTGAAATTGTTTATGAGGAAATTAACCAAATGCCTCTTCCAATTTACCAGTGGATGCACATTTCCTTATCACATTTTAGTGTCAAAACATCCTGGAATATAGTGGAAATAAAGGATTTAGAAAAGCATGAAGTCATCAAGTTTTATTATATGTCTTGTGTTGAATTATAATAATACTGTTTGCAAAATTTGCTTTATGGAGCGGCCAAAACTCAACCCATAAACTCTGCAGATGTATTCCCAACTGCAACACTCTGCTTGTACTGTGCTTGCTTTGTCCATATTTTTTTTTACAAATGCTTAGTCAAACATAAATAGTGATATCAGTATCTCCCAGAAAGGAATAGACATTATACAAGGAGAACCATGTTGTATATAGTGTCAAAAAACACTTGTATTTGCTGAGACCTGAAATTGTCTGAAATCTTTTAATGCATGTGACACGTTCACCAATTTTTCACTCAGTGGTGATGTTTAATTCACAATAATAATCTTATTTCACCCAAAATCTTCCACTTTGAAGTCTGTTTTGAAGTGTTCCTGGGGGGTTGAAATTTGTTCATATTACTTTGTACTTCTTTTGAGTCCTGATGCCAAGCTTCTGTTAATTCCATTAATATACGATGCCACACATTACA